GTCGTATTTTTTCGGGGCATGTCTCGGGGGGGGCAGTCGGAAATGAGTATTTTTGGAGCTCCCAGGCGTTTGCGAGTTGTGGCCCGTTTTTGGTTGCAATGACGTACGCCCCCTTTCCTTGATAGCGTAGGACTTTGAAGGGCCCATAGCGTTTGGGCAGGAAACGGCGGTGCGCCGCATGTCGTTCGGTGGTTTTGAGCCGCGGACGCAGCGTTACCATTTGCCCCGCGTGGAACGGCGGCAGTTTTCGTTTGTTGGCTTGTTTGATATATTGACTTTGACGGTCCTGAGCGGTTTGTTGTACCGCCTGGAGTTGCTTTGAAATGTCCCTGGGCGGGGCGTTGAACTTGATGTCTGCTGGTGTCGGCATTGGTTTTTTGTGCCACAGCTTGAGTGGGGACAACCCGGTGGTGGAGTGGGGCGTCCGGTTGTATGCCATGGTGGCTTCATACAGGACTTGGTCCCATGAGGTAGCGTTTGGCGCGGTTTTGGCGAGGATGGCGGTTAGGGACTTGATTGTGCGTTCGCAGGCGCCATTGCCCTCTGGGTCGTATGGTTGTGCGATGTGCACTTCCATTTGGTTTGCCTTGGTGAACCGTTTGAATGCTGCGGATGAGAAGACCACTGCGCCGTCCGAATGGATGATTTCAAAGGATCCGAGCTGCGCGAAAACATCTGCAATGAAGCTGCAGAGTGCGTTGGCTGTCGCCCGTTTCACTGGTTGCGCGATGGCCCGCTTGGTGTAGTAGTTGATGGCCACGAGGGCGTATCGGTTGCCCGCTTGTGACAGCGGGAATGGTCCCCAGAAATCCACCCCTAGGCGGTCGTGTTTGTCGGTGGTCGGGACGGATTCCAGGTGCGTTCCCACTATGGCTGTTGCCGGATTGAAGGTGAAGCATTTTGTGCATTCGGCTACCCTCTTAAATATTTGCGTTCGCATTTCGGGCCAGGTGTATCGCTGGCGTAGTTGGTGGAACGTTCGTTTCCAGCTAGGGTGTCCCATTTCAATGTGGTATTAGTCGATTATGTCCTGGCGTTCAGATTCGTCTGGTATTTCCTTCAGCTGGATGGTATTCAGTCGAATGCGGCTGAGGGCGTCGGGCCCCGTTAGGGTTTTGCCCGGTCGGTGTACCAGCGTGTATTGGAATGATTCCAGTTTGATCTTGAGGCTGATGAGTCGTGTGTCGGACAGTTCCCCGAGGAGGGCCTTGTGGTCCGTGATGATCTTGAAGTGCCGATGTTCGACATAGTGGCGGAATTTTTTGGTCGTCGCCCAGACCGCTGCCAGCAGCTCTCGCTGCGTGTTGGAGTAGCGTGTTTCCGCGGGGGTTAGGACCCGACTTGCGTACTCCATGATGTGGGGTTGTCCTTCTGGGTCGATTTGAATGAGGATGGCCCCGATTGCGGATGCGGACGCATCGCAGTGGATCTCAGTGTCCCATGCTGGGTCAAACCGTTCAAGCCGAGCGGCGTTTGCTATCGCTTGTTTTAGCGCTTCAAACGCGTCAGTCGCCTCCAGCAACCATATGATGGCTGTTGCCGGTTTGACTGGAATTGTTAGTCGTAGGACTTTCTCCAATTGTGCGAAGTTGGTCGGCACATGGGCTCGTAGGTAGGTGGCGAGGCCCAGGAATCGCTGCATCTGGCATGTGGTTGCCGGTTGTGGGAAGGCCTGGACGGCTTTGAGATGCTCTTCCGCGGGGCGTGTGCCCGTTTTGTCGACAATGTGGCCGAGAAAGTTGATGGACTCTGCCAAAAATTTGGATTTGTGGATGTCGATGGACGCTCCTGCGGACGCAAGCGTATCGAGAACCTGTTGTAGGTTTTCAAGTACCGTGTCGAAGGTATTGCCGAAGACGATGATGTCGTCGATATAGACCAGACATTTTGTGTATAAATGCGGGCGCAGGATGGTTTCCATGGTCCTTTGAAAAATGGCGGGTCCCATTTTGAGGCCGTATGGTAAGACCGTGTACTGCATTTGTCCTGTATAGGTCGAAAATGCGGTCTTGTGGCGATCGCCATGTGCAATGGGGATGTGATGATATCCCGAATGCAAGTCGAGGCAGCAGAAGTAGGCGTTTTGGCGCCCTACTGCGTCAAGGATGTCTTGAATGACTGGCATGGGGTAGTTGTCTGCCAATAGAACCTTATTGATTTCCCGATAATCCTCTACGAGGCGCCACCGCTTGATTGCGGGGGCGTTCGGATCGTCATCTTTCGGCGTCAGGAAGGCCGGGGAATTGACGGTGGACTGGGCTGGTTCTATGATACCCGCGCGGGTGTAATTGTCGATGATGTGTTGGAACGATGGCCGCTTGTCTGGCGAGAGCCGTATGCGGCGACTGGGTTCGGGGTCTTCACCGTTGGTGGGTAGCAATGCCACGTGCTGCGGGAAGAGCCCGTGTTTACTGCTCCACTGAAAGATGTTAGAGGCGTAGCGCCGCAGGAGTGCTGCGATCTGTTGTTGCTCTGCGGGCGTGCCATGTACCAATGTGATGCCCTTGCCTATCGGGGCTGTTGGGGCTTTGTTAATAGGTTTAATCTGTTGAAATCCGGAAAAAACTCGCTGGCCGTCGAGGGTGACGCAGAAAGGGAGATTCTTCAGCATGTCGAGCCCGAGAATAACAGGGTAGTGCACGTTGGAGAGTAGTAAGAAGGTGGCTTCGTACGCGGCCGATCCAAGAGTAAAAACAGTACTCACTGCGTGACTGACGGTCGTGGAGACGTGAAGAACTGCTGCGGATATCCTCGCTTTGGTCGGATGTGGAGACAGGCCGACTTCCTCGGCGACGTCCGTCGCCATGAACGATTTTGTCGCTCCGGTGTCGATCAGGGCGGTCACCCGTTTGTTTTTGATAGTGATGATGATGGTCAGGCTGTCATCTGTGGGCGTGGGGATCAAGCAGAGGACAGCCGTCACTGCCCGATCTTCCCGTTTCCCGGACATGTTGCTGCGGTATGTCCTGTATTTCCGCATTGTTCGCATTTAGTCGGTTGAATCGATTGTGCGGGGGATGGTGTATTCACCTGGTTCGCCGGGTTGTTTCGGCATTCCTCGGTTGAATGTGCGACCATGCGCCCCGGATGGAACGAACAGCTTTGCAGGGGGCGCCCGTTAGCCGTTGTGGACGGCGTGGATGCCCGTGAACTCGTGCGCAACATCGTGCACTCGGCCGTGCTATGGAACACATACCGCTGATGATTTTCGCAGTAGTATTTGGTGACTCCGGATGCCGTCGTCTTGGGCGGGTGGTTGGCGGGTGATTGCGGTGCCGGTGATGCGGCCGGTTTTGGTGGTGCCGGATGGGTATGTCTGTATTCGTCGGCTATCGCCAGGCATTCGTCCCATGTGAGGGAAAGGTTGGCTGTTGCCCGCGCGTGTAGTTGGGCGTGGAGCCCGCCGGTGGTGATGGACAATAGTTGTCCAATAAGGGCCCGCGTGATGGCGGTCTCATGTAGCCCGACCTCGTTGGGTGGTAAGGCAAGATATCGGAGGTATTCGTCGCGTAGGCGTGGACCGAACTGTGAAAATAGCTCGTCGGACGCCGGTCGGAACTGCTGGAACCTTGTAAAGTGTTCGAATGGTGATAGACCAAACCTGACTTTGAGCTTCTCCGCGATGACGTCGTAGTCCTCGAATCCTTGGTCGTATAGGAGTTGTGCTGCCTCCGCTACCTTCGGCTGGGAGTGCCCGATTAGACAGTCGACTCGCGTGAAGTTCGGCGTTCCGTCGTGTTTGAAGGCGGTGTCCAGGCGTCGCAGGTACATATCGATACTTTCGTTGGGCGACTGGTGCGGATAGTCCACGCGTCTGCGCAGCAACGACCGTGCTAGCAGTTCTGTAGACCCTGGTCCCGTTTGATAGTCCGGCGGTGAGCCGAGGATGATGTTGAGTGGCGTAGCGCCTCTGGCCTGAAGTGCGCTGATGAGTTCATCGCGTGGCACTTCGTTAGCGTTTGGAATGCCGTTCGCTGTCGCGTACGTACGTATGGCGTTTAGCATGAGGAAATTCCATGGATTGGCTGTCGCCCGTTGCTGTGATGACGCTACCGGTTGCGGTGACGCGTTCGCGTTAGATGGTCCCGGTTGGGGTTCACTTTCAGTGCGGTCACTGTTCATTGCGGGTCGTCGTCGGTCGGCTGAGCCCCCAGTAAGATTTCTCCACAGTCACACTAGGATAAGTTAGACTTGGAATGAGTTGACACCAATATCGGAATACTGAAGTCTATTCACATAAGCACACTATCGCACACATAAAACAGAGGTCCGCACTCGTCGGAGGTTCGAGGTAGAATGAGGCTTGACGTGCCCCTCGTTACACAAGATGGCAGGTCGTTGGCGCGCGGGCCGTTGCGCCGGCGTACCCTGATTGGGTACGAGATCTGAACTAAGCTCGATTCGAATACGCGTTTGTACAAGTCACGCGGGACTAATGGCCGCTGGCCGTTACTATGCTGACAGGCAGCTATTACAAACCAGCACCTTTGAACTCACATATGTAAGTGTTGCATTCCTGTTTGTGCAGCATTTGAGCCTTTCACAACCACATGGGATCGAATGAGTTCTGAGAACTGCTGGATTTCCGGATCTATCAATGAATGAACAGCATTCGCTGCACGAGTGGTCCAACCAAAGTTCTTGGAAGAACATTTTAAATTGCACAGCTTGAAGCAAAACAAGTATTGTTGACGAAAATATAACAGAGAAATACTGTGAAGCTATAGTGATCGGAATCGAGTTTGAGCATAGTAGTGTCACTGCTGGTGATGAAATAAGTGATTCTCTTCTAGTCTGAGAAGCAAAACATCTTATTCCAGAGAATGTTTTCCTATTTGGATTTTATTTTATGACGGTAACTATACGTCATTAAAGTATAAGGTTTGTATCTGAAGATGAGAACTACGGTACTGTATATCCGAGAACTATTCGCTCGTGGAACGTTCCATTTTTGCCGAACAATGCTTCTCATCCATCATCGAAGAAAGAAACTTCATTCAGACTGAGGTGATATAAAAATGAGAAATGTAATATTTTAGTGGTTGGTCGCGACACAGGCGAACAATCCATGCTTTTAAAGCTACGTAAGAGGAGTATATACCGAACTTCAGAAAAATTGTTTCGCCTCATAATGGTGCTGGCATAACCCCGTTTTCCTTGTGGGATGAATATACAGCAGATAATAAGTACACGGATATATTTGAGCAAAATCGCTTGCCAATGTTTCACGTTCCACGTGATTTGCAAGCAGTGTGCACGTTATTCAATTGACGCGTTCCTGCTGTAGACGAGTGAATGAAAGAGAATTCCTACAGTTGTGTGAACAACATCTTTCGTTTTAGTCCCGCCGGTAAAAACGATCAGGATTTTGCGCAGCAAATGTTTCCCAGGATGACAGAACTCCAGCAGCTGTCGCCATTAAATTTAGGGCCTTCAACGAGGGCTCCGTACCAAAAACAAGCAGCTCGTGGAGTGTAATAATGACACCCATATTCCGGGAGACGTTAGCAAAACAGAATATCGCCAAATTGCTTTACAACCATGCTAATGGCAACACGATTGCTTGGCCTGTGAGCATATATACTGTCAAGTAGTCGAGTGCGAGCTTTGGAGGCACTTCGAAAACATATGCGCTCAGATTTCTGCCGGAAATGGTCTGTTCCCCGAGACCATATAAACGTGTTCATATTTACAGGAAAAGTCTATTTCAAAAGT